TAAATAACTTTAATATTAAAATTTTAATATGTAAACTTTGTCTCATTTTAAAAAGGTTTAAAAAGTAATTGTCTGCTTAAAGTTAAAAAAATGTATTATGGTGTTAACATATATACAAGTGAGATGAATGAAAACAATAGACCAGAGGACATAAGGGGAGGAATGGAAAAACACTACTGTAAAGTTCATACATTATATGGAAGGAAATGTAATATAATTTAATGGTAGGTTTTAATTAGTCAAAATTAAGTATTATAAATATTAGAGTGAGTACCTAAAGAAAGAATAGCTGATAAGTTAAGAAAGATAAATCAAGAAAGCAATCCATTTATGATTGCATCAAAAAGAATGAAAGGAGGTAGAAGACCAGTACACTGAACACTATCAGACATTAAGAAAATAAAATGAAGAAGACACAAATTAATGGAAAGATATTCTGCACTTATGGATTGGAAGAATTAATACTGTCAGGATGTCCACACTACCCAAAGCAATCTACATATTCAATACAATCCCTATCAACATTCCAATGGAATTTTTCACATAAATAGAACAAACAATCCTAAACTTTTATGCAATCACAAAAGACCCTTAAAATCAAACAATTTTGAAGAAGAACAAAGCTGAGGGCATTGAATTCCCTGATTTCAAACTCTATTGCAAACCTATCATAATTAAAATAGGATATCATTGGCATAAAAACACACAGATAAATGAAACAGAATAGAGAACAAGAAATAAACCCACATACAAATGACTAATTGGTTTATAACAAAGGAACTAATAATATACAATTGGAAAGGAACGATTTCTTCAATAGGATGATGGGGAAACTGGACAGCTACATGCAAAAGAATAAAACTAGACCATTATTCTACACCATACACAAATATTAGCTCAAAATGGAATAAAGACATAAGTATAAAATATGAAATCATTAAACTCTTACAAAAAACAGGATAGTAAGTTCCTGGACATAGGTCTTGGTGATATTTTGATTCTGACACCAAAAGTAAAAGCAACAAAAGGAAAAATAAACAAGTGGGACTGCATCAAAGTAAAAAAGCTTCTGCATAGCAAAGGAACCCATCCACAAATTAAAAAGGCAACCTAATGACTGGGAGAAAAATATTTTCGAATTATGTATCTGGTAAGGGTTAATATACAAAATATATGAAGAATTCATATAACTCAATACCAAAAATCGAACAGTGCAGTTAACAAAAGAACAGAAGATCTTAACAGACATTTTCCAAAGAAGACATATGGATGTCTGACAAGCACGTGAAAAGGTGCTCAACATCATTAATCATCAGGGAAATGTAAATAAAAACCACAATGAAATATCACCTCATACCTGTTAGTGACTGTTATCAAAAAGACAAGAAATAACAAGTGTTGGTGAGGATGTAGAGAAATAGGAATCCTAGTGCACTGTTGGTAGGAATGTAAATTGGTATAGCCACTACGGAACAACAGCATGGAGGGTCCTCAAAAAATTAAAAACAGAACTACCATCTGATTCAGCAACTCCACTTTTGGATATTTAAAGGAAATGAGAAAGCTAACTCAAAATGATACGCATTGCCAAGGGGATCGTGGGGTATCATGATTGGTGCACATGGTATATGTGGGGTCACAGGGAAGACAGTGTAGCTCAGAGAAAACAAATAGGGACTCTGTGGTATCTTAATACACTGATAGTGACTGCAATGGGGTGTTGAGAGGGACTCGATAATAAGGGTGAATGTGATAACCACATTGTTTTTCTTGTGAAACCTTCATAAGAGTGTATATCAATAATACATTAATAAAATAAAAAATAAAAATTTTAAAAAGATGTGCATTGCCACATACATTGTAACACTATTTACAATAGCCAAGATATATGGAAATAACCTGTGTCCATTCATAGGTGAATAGATAAATAAAATATAAATATAAATATGGAATAAAATGGAATGTTATTTAGCCATAAAATTAATGAAATCTTGTCATTTGTAAAAACAGAAGAGGACTTTGAAAGCATTATGCTAAATGATATGACTCAGACAAAGACAAATGCTGTATGACCTCTCTAGTGTTCAATCTAAAAAATAAAAAGAATAACAAACCAAACTTAAACATAAAGAGAATAGATGGTGATTGCCAGAAGCAAGGGCATGGAGGTGGTTGTGAGAAATTGGTAAAAGAGGTCGAAGGTGATTTAAAAAAAGATAATAGAGGAGGAAAAAAAATGATGGTGAAAAAAGAACAGTAAACAAATGAGTTCAATTGAAAATAATGGTAACAAAGTAGACAAAATCAATCATGTGAATCATTACATTAAAATTTAGAAAGTACAATTAAACATCAGAAATTTCTAAACTGTGTAACAAAATCAAGATTCATATGAGAGCTACTAGAAACCTACTTTAAAGATACAACAAGCAAAAAGGATACTATATGTTAATCTAAATGCAAATCTAAGCATGATTTATTTATATCAAACAAAGTAAACTTCAAGACAAGGAAAATAACCAGTGAAAGAGAGCCATTTTGCAGTAATGAAAGAGTCAACTCATTAACAAGACATAGTATGTCAAATGTATGCACCTAATAACAGATCTTCATAATATACACAGCAAAAACAGAAAGAATAAATAGACAAATACACAAGTGCAGTTGGATATTTCAACACTTCATTAGTTGATTTAAAAAGTAGACAGAAAACCAGTAATGATATACAACACTTCAAACAACACTTCAACCATCTAACTGGTATTTAAATAATAGTCCAAATAATAATGGCTAATGCATCTTCTTTTCAAATGTATATGGCACTTTTAGAAGACCATATATGCTGGACTGTAAAACAAGTCTTAGTAAATTTAAATTATTGGAATGTTAAAATTTTAAATGAATTGATCATATCAGGTATATCATCTTTGACATAATGAACTTTCCAAAGCTTCTTTGATTTCATGAAACAGATATAAAAAGGAAATTTTATTGGAATTAAAATATTTGAGGCAATTGACATTATTGATTCTGTATTTGAGGCAAGTGATGTGACTAATATAAAATTGGACTCATTGAACTATTTGTGAAGTTCTTCTGCTAAGGAAGTTGACATATTAATACTTTTTATATATATGCAAAAAAGAATTTAGAATCTTAAGCGATGAAATTAGTAGAGTTTTCATTTGCTCTAAAAGTCATACTTTTTAAATAAATTCATGTCTTCTGGTTTTCACATGGTCAATAACACTAGTATGAGCCCTATGTAGGTTAATACACATTGTGCGCAAATTGTATTTTCATCAATTTTCTCTTTTAGATATTATTGGGGAATTTGATGATTAGCACACAGATATTATGAACAGTTTGTATGTAATCCTTAAAATATAAGTACTGAAAGTCTAAAAACCATGTGGCTAATCCAAAGAACTATTCCAATGATGTATCATCTTAAAATTTGTAGGAATTAGTTTATACAACAAATTGTATCAATACAAAATTATATCAACTTAAAAATCCTGAATTAATATCTTAAATACTAATACACTACTATGTCTAAAGTCTCAACATCTTATGTTTTAATATCATAGACATATTCTCAATCAAAACAGACCATCTTTCATATCAGGTTAACAAGTTATTAGGATAAACCGACCTACTAATTCCAATGATATCATAGTACCAGTGGTAAATTCCACTATCAGGGAACACTTTTACTTAGAAAAATTCAGCTGAAAAGAACATGACTATATAAGGTAGGTATCTTAAAATAACTGAGACTTATTTAATACATTGGGTACTTTAAAATGATGAAGATGTAGCTAACACATTATTGTTACTTAAGATCACCATTTAATTATTTTCATATTTTAGAATATAAAATTGCCCCCTCAATAGTCTACATAATGATAACAATACACAAGGCAATAAAGTCTTATTTAATTCAGTATTATTCCAATTCTTTGGTTATACAGAAAAATAATCAGCACAATAATCAGATTTCCTCTCTGAAATTTTTTATCACTTATCTAATTATGTGTTATTGAAATGGGATCATGAGGAACTGATTTTTTTAATGTATTTCTGGATGTACTAAAATATTTAGATTTATAAATAGCAATAAAAATATTCTAGATTCTTTCCTTCTCTTTTGGGGCTTAGCTTCAACTTTTGCAAGGATATGTTTGTTTGACACTTTTTGGTCTCTGCTTGGTTCTTGACAGCCCCTTTCAGCTGAACTGACCTTCCTTTTGGACATCTTGGTAGAATCAGCTTTCTTAAATGAATGCTCAGTCTGTACTTTTTCATTGAGCAGGCACTTTTTAAAATCCCACTGCTGCCATAAATGTCTACTGCAAAATAATTTAAAAATTTTTTCTATGACAGAATTAAATGCTTCTCCATCTACCATTCAAGATTAGAATGAGTTAGGTTCATATCTGGAACTATTTCATTTTACCTACAGGTGCCCTAATTCACACTTGAAAGAGAAGTGTGAATTAATTGCCTGGCATCTGGGAAAGATTGGTAAATAGCAAGGGGTTATCAGCTTTGTTTTCCATATTTTACCACATATTATAAATACTCTGGACACTGGAACATATCTCACATACTAGTATGTACTAGTAGATGTGATCAAATACAAAGTAGAGATCTAATAAACATACCTTAGCTATTTTAACAGAACTATTAAGAATGATACTTTGTTTTAAAAAATGGAAAGTAGAGGCCAAATGCCAAACCAGTCAGTATGCTAGGACAACAGATATAAACCAGGACTATCTTGGACATAATAGGCCATATGGCGATTCTGATACCATATGCACATGGTGCCGGAGTAGTGCAGGTTTGGAAGTGACTAATTCTGCATAGAAGTTATCAGTACTAGAAGCATCATTTGACCTGGGCCTTGGAAAATGACTAAAAATTTATTGATTGTCAATGTGGCATAAGTGTTCTAGGAATATGGAAGAGAGTTTGCAAATGAAGCAGAAGCGTATGCTCACTTTGGCAGAACATATACTAAAACTGGAATGATACAGAGAAGATTAGCACGGCCCCTGTGCAAGGATGACATGCAAATTCATGACGCGTTCCATACTTTTAAAATACCTAATCACTATTCCTCAAGGCTGATAAAGTCATGAAAATTAAGGTAAGGCTGAGAAACTGTCACAAACCAGAAGAAACTGGAATTAGATCCTGGAATAGAAAAAAATCAGTAATGGGAAAAGCTGATGAGAGCCAAATAAATTCTATAGTTTAGTAGGAAAAAAAAAAAAGCAGCAGAAGTGGGAAGGGACATTGTTCTTTCAGGACAGTGTAGTTAAATGACTGGATGTGTGTAAGTGAATAGTGAGGGATGAAGGTGGCAGACGGCTTGGGTGCAAACTGCGGAGGCTTTAAATGTAATTCCAGTTTTGCACTTATGATTGTGCTTGTGGGTAAAACTGCAATATTTCTAGAATCTCTTGCCGGGCCTTAGTGGATTTCCATATCAATAGGTGTTTCCAAGGGGTGGAGAGAAGTAGTCTGTCCCTATATCAATAGGTAATTATACAGGCCAGCGAGGGTATATCTGGACCGGAAAGGTTGAGTGGTGTCTCTTCTTCTGTAGAGACACATGGGAGAGCAGAAGAGGACTACTGCTTGTAAGAAATAAATGGATTTATCCCACTATATTTCTCCCTTTGTCTGATTTCAGTTTCTAAGGTATTTTGCAGCAGCAATTTCTGCCTACTATCTGATCTGTGGAATCTGATTTGTATTTTAAAACATTAGTCAGATGGAAATGTGGAAAAAAGTCTGGCCATAGGGATAAGGAAGAGAGTATCTGATGGACTGCCACAGCAATGCAGGCAGTAATACTGAGGATGGGAATAAAGGCAGGGGAACCATACCGTCCTTTGAGGCCAGGGGCATCAACCTCTCATGGCTAAAGGATGCATTTCCTTGAGAATTTTCAACAATATAAGTGATGGGTCTTGGTATTTTGTATTATCCAGCAGGCACAGTTTCTTAGGAGAGGTCAAAGAGTGAAGAGCATAGAAAATGCTCTGTCAAAAGTCAACTCCTCTGTGTGCAAATGTCAGCATGATACCCGAAGATGTCCTCCCTGTGGAACTAAAGTAGGATGAGACAGGCCGATGACCAATTTAAGCAGGGGATATAGAGGGTGACTGCTGAGAACAAAGAAGTACATAGGATAGCATGTGGTGGTGATGCAGAATTTAAGTAGCCTGATTAAGCAAAAGTGCCTTACAGACAGTAACATTAAGAGGCAAAGCTACACTCTACAAAGAATGAATAGATCATGAACTAGAAGGCATGATTCTGCTGATAGTGGCTTGATGATGACTATGAAATTGGTATGTGACCTACATTTCAGTTAAATTCACTCTGCACCAAGTTCAGTGAAATACACTTCACTGGTTGCATTTAATTGCTGAAGACTCTTTTACTATTGCCTGAAGTGCTCCTTTTTTATTATTTGACACTCCATACACATAACTATTTGCTCAAAAGAGGAATGGGCACTCTGCTGGTGGAGAAGAAAAATCTGACTTAAATAAAAATGATATAACATGATTTGGCTATAACTGCTGATTTATGCCTGTTGTCCAAGTTAGTTTTTAATACGGGCCCCTTTTATTCTAAAATATTATCTTAGATTTGGACAATAAATTATATGGTCATCCTAAACAGAATCTTTAATACACGTTTACAGAGACAAAGGTACTCATAATATATTAGGGAGTAAAGATCATATAATTATAACATCTTCAGCACAATAAATTGAAAAACTATTCCGATCTTTAGCTGGAAAAAAAATTAAAGCTAATACCTTGGGCATGGGCTGGAATATGCTTTATAGAGGCCAGAAAGGGTTTTATAGAGATATGTTTTACAAAACATTTAAAAATTTTTATACAGAGGTCAGAAAATGTTTTATAAAGACAGGTCTTGGTGCTGAGCCTGGAAGAATGAGCAAGACTTAAGCAAATGTGAGCAGAACAACATTTAAGGCAAAAGAATGTTTACAGAGACAAAGCAGTACAGGTGTGTGTGTGTGTGTGTGTGTGTGTGTGTGTTTATGAAACTAAAAACATTTGCCTGAGTGAAAGGGAAGGTACAACTGAGAAATTATTAGAGATAAATATATTTAATATCAGGTCCTTAATAGACTTTCCTGGAAGGAATGAACATGGGTAACATGAGATAAATTTATCCAGGGATGAAGACTTCAGGTTAGGCATTGATATGGCATATTCTGACCTACAATCCAAATTTGACCTATAGGAGTGCTTTATTGGTTTATAACCCGTTCCTACTCTCTTTAAGATTAGTTGTTTTCTTTGAAAATTAGGTGGCCTTACATAAAACTCCTTATTTCAGGTTCCACTTTAAAATTAGCTTGCCTTTCTATTGGGCAAAATAACTATAGCCAGAGGGGACAGTTGAACCTTTAAATGGGCACCCATGCGCTCCAGCTTTCCTTCCTTCCTCCTCACTGCTTCACTTGTATAAATCACCTGCTTTTTGAAAGTGTGACCTTAGGTGTGGTACTAGAGAGCATAATCAAGAAGACAAGCTGGTTAAATGTAGGATGTACTTGTAATCAATAATTTATAATGAAAAGCTTTCTATTTCATCCAGCATATCAACACATACATCTAAATAATAATGATATAATAATAGTAATAACTACTAAGCATTTATTTTACTATGCACCAGGCACAGTGTAAAACTCCTTTCAGACACATATGGATTTGAGTTCACTTTCTGAACCTCAGTGTATTTATCCGGGATGGGAATGGCTTTTGTGAGGATTAAATGAGATCATGTACATAAAACATTTCACATGGTTCTTGACATACCAAACAAGATCTCATTCATGAAAAAAACACTTTCGAATTTGAAACTAGGACATATGGAAATCTGTGAAGGACTGAGTTGCAGAGGATCTCCAAAAGAGACTAATTTTCATTCATTGATGATATTGACAATATATTAATCTTCAAATTAATTTGATTCCAGTAGGTTGGTTTTAGACTCAGGTCAGTAATACTACTTTGCATGCATTTTAAAAGAATATTAGGAAGGCAGAATTATTAAAGCTCTGGTGTGCTACATATTGTTACTATAACTTTAATATGACCTCTAAAAACAATAAAAGTAAAAATGCACTGCTAATCCCTATCAAATTACCAACAGCATTCTTCAATGAACTGGAACAAATAGTTCTAAAATTCATATTGAACCACCAAAGACCCCGAATGGCCAAAGCAATCCTGAGAAGGAAGAATAAAATAGGGGGTATCTCGCTCCCCAACTTCAAGCTCTACTACAAAGCCACAGTAAAGAAGACAATTTTGTACTGGCACAAGAACAGAGCCACAGACCAGTGGAACAGAATAGAGTCTCCTGACATTAATCCAAACATATATGGTCAATAAAGGAGCCATGGACATACAATGGGGAAATGACAGCCTCTTCAACAGTTGATGTTGGCAAAACTGGACAGCTACATGTAAGAATGAAACCCCATACACAAAAGTAAATTTGAAATGGATGAAAGACCTGAATGTAAGTCATGAAACCATAGAACTCTTAGAAAAAAATACAGTCAAAAATCTCTTGGACATAAACATGAGTGACTTCTTCATGAACATATCTCCCCGAGCAAGGGAAACAAAAGCAAAAACAAACAAGTGGGACTATATCAAGCTGAAAAGCTTCTGTACAGCAAAGGACACCATCAATAGAACAAAAAGGTATCCTACAGTATGGGAAAATATATTCATAAATGACAGATCCAATAAAGGGTTGACATCCAAAATATATAAAGAGCTCACGTACCTCAACAAACAAAAAGTGAATAATCCAATTAAAAAATGGGCAGAGGAGCTGAACAGACAGTTCTCCAAAGAATAAATTCAGAGGGCCAACAGACACATGAAAAGATACTCCACATTGCTAGTCATCAGAGAAATGCAAATTTAAACCACAATGAGATATCACCTCACACCAGTAAGGATCGCCACCATCCAAAAGACAAACAACAATAGATGTTGGCAAGGTTGTGGAGAAAGGGGAACCCTCCTACACTGCTGGTGGGAATGTAAATTAGTTCAACCATTGTAGAAAACAGTATGGAGGTTCCTCAAAAAGCTCAAAATAGAAATACCGTTTGACCCAGGAATTCCACTCCTAGGAATTTACCCTAGTAATGCAGCAGCCCAGTTTGAAAGAGACAGATGTACCCCTTGACTATTTACAATAGCCAAGAAATGGAAGCAACCTAAGTGTCCATCAGTAGATGAACGGATAAAGAAGAGGTGGTACATATACACAATGGAATATTATTCAGCCTTAAGAAGAAAGCAAATCCTACCATTTGCAACAACATGGATGGAGCTAGAGGGTATTATGCTCAGTGAAATAAGACAGGTGGAGAAAGACAAGTATCAAATCATTTCAATCATATGTGGAATATAAGAACAAAGGAAAAACTGAAGGAAAAAAACAGCAGCAGAATCACAGAACCCAAGAATAAACTAACAGTTACCAAAGGAAAAGGGACTGGGAAGGATGGGTGGGAAAGGAGGGATAAGGGCGGAGAAGAAGAAAGGGGGCCTTACAATTAGCATGTATAATGTGTGTTGAGGGGCACAGGGAGGGCTGTGTAACACAGAGAAGACAAGTAATGATTTTACAGCATTTTACTATGCTGATGGACAGTGACTAATGGGGTACATGGGGGGACTTGGTGAAGGGGGGAGTCTAGTAAACATAATGTTCCTCATGTAATTGTAGATTAATGATACAAAATTAAAAAAATGCACTGCTAATTTCACAGACAAATCTGCACTAAAAAGTTCCTGGGAACACATCATAGGGCAGCCTGTTTCTATTTGGCAAATGCATTTGGCATTCACAAACACTATCCTGAAGCACTTTTCACATGAGTGTATTCAGATATTTAATCACAATAACCACCTAAGTGTAAAACATTACTAATTTAAGGTAAAGGAAAGAGAATTGTTCGCTGCTAGCCTATAATTATAAAGAACTGAAATTGAACAACAGTAATGAGTGGTTCTAGGATAAATTGGTCATAATTTCAAAAAAAGAGACATAAAAAGTAAAAAATAGGAGATATAAATATGAAGGATGCTTTATCCAGAAGTGTTTCAGATTATGAAGTCATTTATGTTCACTGATTACATGACAATTTTCTTACTTTTCATTTTTTTTTCTTTCTCTCCAAAGATCTATTTAAAAAGTAAATTTGCAAATATTGACTCTTCTAAACTGACATAAACCTCTCTCCTACAAGCTAAGTTTATATACAGTACAAAACAATTCATTTATGTTAGTCAATTATGTCAAATAACTGTGCTCCATTAAAAAAAGTCCACCAAGTTAATTGTTTAATAGTATTAACCACTTGTTTACCTAAAACAAAACATTCTGTAGGCAGTCATTTCAAAAGTCCTTCATGCTTTTGGCATTTTTTTCAAAGGATTTCAATTTTATATTTATTCACAGAATAATAATAGTTTACTAGGCACAACTATATAATCAATAACAAATACTATGGACACATGATCATAGTACATCTTAGTAACCTATTTATGAGATGAGCATTACCATCCCTATGCAAATTAGAAAACTCAGCCGCAGATGGTAAGGTCACGTGGCCAAAGTCAGCAGTTAGTAGAGAACCAGGACCTGAACTCAGACACACTTAAAGAATACTGGTTTGCACATTCTCCGTAGATGATCTTATAACTTTGGAGAAGTTTCTGTAAATAGGACTTTTTAAAGATGATATTATTAGAAAATCCATTAGGTAATGTTCCTAAAGAGACAATGTATGCTGACAATAAAAGTAAAAATATAGCAATTAAAAATTTTAAGTTTTATTCACTTTCTCCAGTCACTAAAACCCAAATCCCTTTTAGAGAATATGTCCTTAACCATTCAGCAGCACCATATAAAGAAAAGAAAGATAAAAAGAAGTTGTGAACATTGTTAATTACTTAAAATAAATGGCATTTTGTTGTTATAGGAAATCTTTAACTTAAAAGTAGATCTAAAATATTTTGTCAAAGATATCTGTGAATATATAATGAAGATCTTTACCAGAAGAAAAATAAAATAAGTAAAAATTGCCTTTTTTTGGTAATGGCAAGTATTTATTTCTTTAGCTACAAAAATTTCACATTTTGGAATATATAATTTTATGGTAAATCCAGATTACATACTTCATAATGCAATTATTTCATTTGCTGATTTATTTTGACACTACCTACACTTTAAGAGAAATTGGTTTGACAATTGGAGAGAAGGTCTCAACTAATGACTAACTCAAAGTTAACTGTATTTGTCTTTTCCAAGTATCTTTTACATTAACTGTATATGATTAGGAAAACTAGACATAAGAATATTTAAGATCATTAAATTTTAAAATTAAGGTCTTGGGCAGTGAAGCTAACAGAACTATTTGAATAACATTCTTATTTTGCATTTAAGAAATAAAATTATAACTCACTTGAAAATTGAATTGCAAATCCAGATTTGCTGATATAAAAATCTGTGTCAAACTGGATGGTTACTATATTTAGGGTGCTATGGATTCCTTCAGGAATAAGAGATCCACTAATTTCCTTTAAGAGCATCTCATTCTCTGGTGGACCATCCCAAACTCGGAGTATATCATGTGATGCTTCCGTATCAAAAGCAAGAAACTGTAAGCTGTGGGAGAACCATACGTTTCTGATTAATTTAAACCCAGATTCAGTTTTAAATAAAGAATATAACAAATATGCATCTTTGCTTTTTTAATTCATTTTATTCTATAAAGAATATATTATGTAAACAGCATATATAATCTTTATGAATTTTCCTTAAGCAGTATAATTTATTTCTTTAGAATATGATTAAATATACCATCATATCACCTTTGCTAATTACGAAAATGTTCAGGTAAACATTCTTTTCAGGGTTCATGAATTTTAAGTGGCAACAGCAGGTGACATCTATGGGGAAATTGGTATGTGCCAGGCACTGTACAAAATGCATTGCTCCCACATGTTTTCTTTGTTTAACTGTAATAATGACCCAATGAAGCAGGAATGACTTGAATCTCACGTTTCTAAGTGTGGTGAATGGAGTTTAGATAGATTAAATAAAATTGCCCAAATGGTGGAAGAGTCATGAATTGAACTCAGGTTTTCAGACTCCATAGTATATATTTTTAGCAATTGTCAACTTTGTTTGTTTGTTTGTTTTGTCAGAATGAAATGACATTTATTCTAGGAATGCAAGAATAGTTCACATTAAAAAATCAATCACTACATTTCATCACAATGAGATATAAGGAAAAAAATCATATGAATATCTCAGTATATACAGAAAAAGTATTTTTAAAAATTAAACATTATATTCATATCCAATAATCTGGGAGTAAAGGGGAACTTCCCTAATGTACGTATTAAAAATAATATGTATTCCCCCCCCCAAAAAAAAGAGAAGCACAAAAAAACAAAAAAACAGAAAAACTGTTTCAGGTTAATTTTATGTTCTTTATGTCTAACCTAGATAAAATCAATATCTGATACATTTTATGGCTAGTGCCCAAAATTAGGAATTCAATTATATCAACATGACCAATTCTCTCTCTGTTTCTCTTTATCTCTCTCTCTCTTTATATATGTATATGTATATATATATATATATAGCATTTTAAATAAAACAATACATGGTCTATACTAAAGAAAAAGATTGGCTTTTTCTTTTAAAGATTGGCTGAAGATCAATCCAGTGTAGTCTATTTTGATTTTTGCAAATTCCCTTGTAGAAGCAATAAACTAGTTTACATCCAATAATAGATAGGGTACACCTTTCACCATGTTAACAGAGGATAATACCTGTTTTCAATGCTACCTTCACCATCCAAAAGGCTATCTGAAATTCCACTTATAAAAAGAAGCAATTCTTAGTCATTGTTTACTGAGCTCTAATGCACTAACTAGCTCATATGTCAAGGAGGATTTGTTCATCTATCAAAGCATTCCCAGCCATAACCACATTAGTTAAACTAGGAGTGAGGGAATACTGGTGCTGACTTACAAAGGATGGTCTGCCTTTATCTAAGGGGCAACAATGTGAAGAATTTTGAGTCACCCAACTAATCTCAAAAGGAAAGGTGGTGCCCCAGAAATGTGCTTAGAGCCCGGGAAAACAGGGAATCGTTATGGGTTCCCTTTCTTTTTTTCTTCTAAGTGTTCTTGAGGCCTAACTTATGATAATGACCTGCCCGATTTTATGGACCTCTCAAAATAGTGGAACTCAGCGACCTGAATAATCAAGAATTGAAAGAGTAGAATACCCAAGAACAGGGAAAATCCTCAATCTCTGTACTCTCTTATAACTATGAAAGTCCTCTTCTAAGGAGTTATATGAGCTCCTGCTGTCACCCCACTCAGTAAACCATGCTGATTAATACATTCTTCATATTTTAAACAGATGAACACCAAGTTTCCCCTTATAAGATTAAAAGTATTTGTGTGATACTGTACATAAGGGCTCATCAAGAAATTCAGATTCCCCAGTAATTTTGAGAAAATGAAATCCATTTACCTGACAATGTTTCCTGGATCTACCTCGATCATCCACATGCAACGCAGATTATTGTCATACGGAAAGGGGTAACCAGGAGATAAGATTCTTCCTGATGATTCTCCTTTAAAACGACCTCCACATTCAGCTAATACAAAAACAACAAAAACTTAAGTTACAATTTCACGCTAACCTTTTCAAAATAATCTACAAATTTCTCGAGTATATATTTTTCACCTTAAGGAAAATAGGGACTAATTAACCCACTTCTTAAAAGTATACATTTGTATATGCTTTCTCAGATTAAGGGATTCACTGAAGCAAAAATATACTGTACAATAAAACAAGTCTCAAGTGAGATCACAGAAAAGATTATAAAATGAAACTAATTATGGAATAAAAAAAGCACACACTCAAAAATTCTGAGTTTAGGTATCCAAACATTTTAAGATGGTGTTGTTAAATAACGATAACTTAGACAGGGGAAGCAGATGGCAAGTTGCTCAACTGCTAGCTGGTTGTAGTCTGTATAATTCATCATATTGCTATCCCACCTCTGAGAAAAACTAATCTTTACTGTCCCTCAGGCCTTCTAAATTTCATTGTCCTTTTATTTCCTTTAAATCATTCTAAACTCTTTCACTTTTAACCTTCCAAAAGTCATAGTGGCAATTTTATTAGATTTCTTGTATCAGTTAAATCTAGTTTGGTTTGATTTAATGTGGCCTGATTTTTATAAAATATATCAAATTAAAAATGGAAGTATTGTCATACAATACAATCAAATTTTTATCTTTTGGGGAATTTTTTTTCTCCATTTTAATACTCTTTATTATATTGGGATGTTTGGAGTGGTTTTAATTTGGTAGACATATAATCTAGAAAGGACTGTGTATGGCAAAAGAGAGAAATTAAGTAATTCAATTAGTATTTTGCTCTATACCTCTAAACACCAGAAACAAGGAGAACAATGTATATTATGTTATACATTTGAAAATTGTGAAGATTATCTCCTACACAGAAAGAAAACAAACCCAAAACTTTTACTTTTAGCTTAAATAATTGAAGATACTCCTACATTTATTTTTCCTCTCATCTGCATTGTTTCCATTTTACTCAAATTCAATGACTGAACTAAGTATCTTGGTTTTGCTTTATTATTAGAACAAAGAAGGTCAAAGACAAAGTGTTAGCATTTGAAAAGACCTAATGACAATAGAATCTTATGTTTCAGTTTGGAGGCTCTATTCGTATAGGTAAATTAGTTTCAAATATTAGATACTATATTTTACCACAATGTGATGGTTAGTTTGATGTGTCATCTTGGTTAGGCTATGCTACCCAGCTATTTAATCAAACACTTACCCAGGTGTTGTTGTGAAGCTATTTTTTAGGTACGGCTAATATTTCCAACAGTTGACTTTAAATTAAATAAAGGAGATTACCTTTGGTAATGTAGGTGGCCCTCAGACAATCAATTGGAAGGCCTTCAAAGCAAAAACTGAATTTCCAGACAAGAAGAAATCCTTCCTCAAGACTGTAGCATTAACTCCTGCCTGAGTTTCCAGCCTTTTGATCTTCCCTATGGATCTGCCCCCAGAACTGCATGAGTTAATTCCTTAAAATAAATATCTTAGAAAGGTAGATAGATAGATATTCTATTGATTCTCTTTCTCAGGAGAATGCTGAGACACCTGCCCATAGATGACTAAGCAATTTTATTTTGTATTGCATTAATGATAATAAAAAACTTATTTTTAAGTTAATAAGAAAATATAAGATGTCACCATCACTTACTGAGATTTTTCACATTTTTTTAACAAAAACTTTGTTCATCAGCCTAGAACAATGTAACACTATCACTTCATTTTTCATCTTTTCTTTATGATTTGTAACTGTTATTGGCATACATTTATGGTAAGAACAGATTTGATACTTCAGTCCCCCAGATTAATCTTTAATCACCTGCAGGTCAAATTTGTTTTGTGCACTATATTGTATCTTGAATGTAAACATAGCTCCTTTTTCTCCATATTTCTTTTCTACAAATATTACTTAGCATTTTGACTTCAAATAAGCCAGTGTGTTATGCCATCACGCTGGGGTTCATAATCTGACAGACTTATGTTTGCAGGATTAAAATGAAATAATGTTTGAAGAAGGTATGCAGGTTAAATCCTTCAAGCTATGATGTTTCAATTTTTGTTTGATCAATATAGAAGCTTCAGAAACGTAAGTACCTAGAAATAATCCACATAATTGAGAAAAAAGTTTCTTATTTGACAGAGACAGAAATATAATCATAATATACATTTAAGGTTAATAAGCACAGAAAACTATAATTTTAGGCCAGGTGGTAAGGATATTAATTGTTGCATTGGAGAACACCATCTAAAATAGAATTTCATCTTCTGTTATTAAGGAAATTATCAGCATGACACACCATGTGTTCAGATGTTTTCAGCTGTTATTCCTGATCATCCATCATTTTAAAAAAGCTTATCCTTCTCATGAAATCTTGAGCAGTATCGGGTCACTAAGTTTTGACTTGGTAGATTTGTAAATACAAAGTGTACTGATTTGTTGCAAACATAATTAAAATCTCCTGATCCCGGACCAAATGTTCTTCCATTTAAACAATTTTTTTTTAGAAAATAAAGAATGTTTTTAGCTTGGTTCAACACATATAGAAAAGACATGACTTCTAATATTTTTTTTCTAATTTTAATTTTAAGGACAGCATGGCAAGTCAGTACTAACAAGTTTATAGTTGTTTTGCTATTATAACAATGATTTTCCGAATATATTTTATATTTACATTAAAGAATATAACCTCAGAGAATGAATCAGTGCTATAATTTTTTCATAACCAATGCCAGTGGGTTGATTGTTGGTCATATAGCAGAATCCAAAGGCTTTTCAATTTAAGTTGATTATTATTTTAGATACTACCCTCATAATCTATTCAAAACCAGATGCCACCTGAAAAGAAAGGACTATGATTGAATTTTGGTTAAATAAAAACAGGTCTGCTTTCCGTGTGAATCAACATTTCAATAAACCAATAGAGGTTTCATGGCACCAAAAACATTGCAATTAGTTGCTAGGTCTCTAAGAACTAGAATTTCATGATTCCTTTTTGTATTCTAGCAAGTTTGGAGGAAATTCCTATGTTGACCATATCAACTAACAAAGTTAAAAATTCAAAAGGTTCATGTTTTCAGAAACATGAGACTTACTGATTAAAAATAAGCAGTTGTTTAGATATCAATTATACCACAGACAGTAAAGCTGTTTTTTAAAGAAGGTTTAGGTCAATTTTAGCCAGATGGGCCTAACGCAGAATGGATTTATGCCTCCCTAAATGCCAGCAAGAAATAAGAATGACTGAAGAATCACTGCATGTTGCTCCCTATTGAGGAGTCAGTGTTTTGTCAAAACCTTGTTTTCTTTTACTCTAGTATTCCAACCTGGCACTTATTTGATCTTTGGAGCAGAAAAGAAAAAAAGCAGATGTCTTTTTCAACTCTTCCCTATCCACCTTCCTACCTACACATATGAGGTCATTCATTGTTATCTAATGACAGTTATAAAATAGAACTTTAGTTACACAAAGAAGAGAGAAAATGATCATTCTTTAGTTCTGTGTAGGCACTATATCTGATGTTTCTGACTCTCACAAGCCTTTTTTATTGAAAGTGGTTAATTATGTTATGTTATATACACATAAGAAAAGCATATTCACTTTCTTAGACTTTTGAAAAGAAAGCTTTTGATGTTATTGAGAATACTTTAGCGTTTTTTAATCTACCTTGATTACAGGATAAGCAATAATTTCATTAATTAGAACAAATCTGGTCAGTGTGACTCAAGAAATGTGTATGATTATGTTTTCTACCTACCACTTCAGCATTTTATTAAAAAAATAATAATAATAAGGGAGAAATGTGGGATTCACATATAAATCAAGTATAAAAATCAAACGAATAATCATATCTGACTTGACTGTTTATAGTTCATGATGCGTGATCAAAACCAAAAGTTTCGGTGATAGGACTGCCCTTGCACTGTTCATCATGTAAGAACTTATATATTCACTATATAAGACCTTGTTCACCATGTAAGAACTTGTTCGTTATGCTTCAGAAGATTGGAGACTGTTGAGATAGAGGCTTGGGGTTGATTAATGACTGTGCATTGACTCCCATATACAGAATTTTATTATTGTTAACAACCATTTGATCAATAAATATGAGAGATGCCCTCTCAAAAAAATGTTAAAAAAAAAGAATCAACATATTTTTGTAGTTACATTTTTATAAATATAACAGAAATGAAATGACTTCACACAAACTGTTGTACAAAAAAAATGCACTCATCAATAAGAGTATGAAAAGGACCCTTTTACTTTCTTTCAACTTCCTTCTGACAAATTTGAGCTATGAGTTCATTAACTTCTTGAATTAAGGTATGAGTTATGTATGGAAAGATGAAATCACTTGAAAAGGTACAGCATAGTTTGACAACACTTCTACAGAAATATTTTGTGAAAATATAAAAGTATCCTACCAATACAGGAAGGCAGAGGATAATCCCATGCCCTTCTCTCCCCTGTCATACACTTGAGGAGGCTGCTTCCATGGAGAGTGTAGCCCGGATTGCATCCATAAATGATAGTGCTACCAGCAAAGTGCCCTTGGTCACTGATCTTGTATCCAAACTGTGGAATGCCAGGATCCTCACAATGTGAAAGTTCAAAACCTGAGAGAAGAATATAAAGACATTAAAGGCAGCATTTAATAGTAAGGTTTAATATTGTGCAAACAGTCCTTTTTTATTATTTTTAATATGACTGCATGATTTTCCTAGTTGTATTGCTCTTACCACATTTAATTCTTATAGCATGCAAAAGCTGCCTACAGCTCTTTTTTTCTTGACGATTAGAATTTGTTGTATCTTTAAAACAACATGATTTACCATGATACCCCATGGTCTATCTGACTCTTTCCTGGCTTGTTATAGTACTGAGCTTCTTGCCTGCTTTAAGTGATTCAATGGCATAAAGTGACTCAAGGAATTCAGCTAATAATAGATTCTGACTAGTATAACTACTAGGATCATATCATTGAAATTTTACATTCACATAAAATATATGAATAACAAATATATCCATTGCAAATATAACTGTAGACTGCCTTCCTTTTTACTCTCAGAGGGAGTCTCATATTTAAAATATACTTTATGAAGAGGTCATATAAAAGAGTATTCAGCTTGAAGAATTCTGAACTTTTCTACTCAGCCTTCTCCAAAAACGACAGCTTTAAAAAGGAAAAAAAATAAAAGAGCACACATAATGTAGCGGGGGGCGGCGGGGGTGTCACGAGGAAGGCAGTATAGCACAGAGGAGACAAGTAGTGGCTCTATAGCATCTTACTATGCTGATGGACAGTGACTGTAATGGGGTATGTGGGGGGGACTTGGTAATGGAGGGAATCTAGTAACCACAATGTTGTTCATGTGATTGTATATTAATGATATCAAAATAAATATATAAAAGAGGAGCAGCAGCTTCCTACACACTGTCATTCTGTGGTGCTGAGGAACTGTTTTTGTGTTTTGCACAGTTGGGGGGGGGCGCTTTCTCCTTGAATTTTGCTGGAAACTTGGGATCCAAAACATTGTAATTAGTTGCTCAAGGGTAACCCTTGAGAGGTAACTTGGAACTATATGAGTAGTGAGAGAAATCCAGGGAGCTTTGCCCAACTCTGGAGGAGGTTTATGTTTCCATTTCAAGAATGACGCTCAGGACCTTACAGACATCTCTAGATTGTTAAAAAACAAAACAAACAACAAACAAACAAACAAACAAAAACCTGGAGACACGGGAGACCCTTGGAGAAAGGTATTTATAGTCCAAAGATCAGAATGAGAATCCAGGATCTTTTCCATCCCATCTCCAAGGAGTAAAGATGTTTCCACCCTCTTTTGGGGAAAGAAGGGGAAGATATCTGCTTCAAGCAGAACAATTTAGTTTTCCTTCATCCCTTTTCTCTGGCTGCTTGTGTGGATTTTCCCACCCGATTCATCAATGTTGCTATAGGGGTAAGGATTGGCTCAAAGTGGGGAGGAGGAGACATCATTATTATTATTACTACTACTACTATTGTTATTACATTACTTAAATAGTAATACTTAATTTGTCTTGTGTGCATATTAAGGGAAAGTTAATAAGCTAAACATTCAAAACCTAAAAGTTATAGCACAATTCACGGTAAAGACCCTGACAGAACAAGAAAAGGATACTTCGTAATTTAAATCAAATGTAATACTAGTAATCAAAATCTAAGTTCCCTAGATTAGATTTTGGAGTTCTTAGTTCTTACAATTGTTTTTTCTTTAATGCTTTACAAAATATATAAATGTAAGATAAATGACATAATGAATGCACTAAAGAAAAGTTACAAATTGTATCAGTTACAGATTCTGAAACTAGAAAACTATAATGAATATTCTAAATAGCCTTAGTAATTGGAGAAATTTTTAATTTCAAGAGAAATAATATTGGAGGACAAAGAAAACTTTTGTGTGTGTTCAATCATATGATAATCAGAGAGATTTGCATCACTTTCCTATAGGCATGGATCCTTGACCAAATTAATACAGATTTGAACTAGAAAGCAAAAATGTATGTATTAGCTCACTGATGTCAAATTATTGACATCATTGACTTCCTAGAGTGTTAAAACATAAAATCACCATAACTTGCACAGCTCGAAGTACTGAATTTATTCTCTAATTATTGACTATTAAGGGAAATATTAGCTCTCAAAAATTTAAGGAGTTCTTCCTATCCTATCCTCTTCTAGGGGGTCTTAAGCACTCCTTCCTCTGTTAACCTATGGAATTATTTTGTACATTTTAATTAAATTACAATCATGGGCTTCTTTCCCTTGTTTTCCTATACACTGGAATTATTTAATTTTTTTTCCTTCTTACCTATGATGCCTACCAAACACGAATCCTGGCACATAGCAAGTGCTCAGTAATACTTGTGAATGAATGTGGATTCTTAGAGACAATTATCTTTAAATGAAGGGATGGCTGAAAAAGAAACTAAAGTAATGCTGATGAGAAACTGAAATTTATGAGACAATTAAAAGATATCTTTAGGAATTTCCTGTACAGATTAGTTTACGACAGCCCCATTTTGGTGAAAATATGTTAAAATAAAGCAAACTAAATGGCTTCAGAGATGGAGGCTTGAAGTGGTTAGAAGCCCATGACTCCAATTGTGACACAGATGAGATATAAAGGATACATGGTCAAGCAAGGCAATCTTTCAAACAGAGAAGTAGAAACAGCAGAAGTAGTAACTTTAAATTTTAGGACACATGAATTTGCATGGGTCTGCATACTTAATACTACATTTAAAATGTCCTTTTTCAAAGATTACAAGTTTGCACTTCTTCTACCAGGCATAATATTGAGTTTATCATTCAAGATGCAGCCACTTTTGAGTTTTATCATATATCATTTATCAAAATGAAAATGGAAATCAAGCTCTCTTTTCAAAGTTTATTACCAAACTCATCCTTCCTTAATTTGAATGTTCTGTAAATGTGCTGGCAATTGCTGGCGATGAGGTAAATGGAGATATTTTTTGTAAATTAAGATAATTTATAATACTTTGCATTATAGATGAAAATGCACACAGACAATAGTATATAAGGTACAAAGCACAACATAATTTAGTCCAATTTGCTGGAATTATTGTTGCTTATTCATAAATATTCAGATTTGTCTTATCTTTATGGAAACATTCAGCTGCTAGTCTCTTTACTGAAGAGCTCACGTACTTGAAACTGACAATTAAAGATGTGTATGAAAAATCACATATACTATAAATATTCACCGTTCCTCATGAAATTTGATATTCTGATTAAATGAAAATTTCTAGAGCACAAAATGAACTGAAAATCCCCTTTATCTAAATAGCTGTGAGTTGCTGAAAAAGTTAAACTGACATCTAACTCCTTTTTTGCAACCATGCAGCATATTTAAGCATTTTTTATTTATTTTAAAGTTATTATGTGAAACCTACAAAAGAGTACAAGGGGTAACATAACAACCTCAACATCTGCCTCTATTAGATTCTAGTATCATAGCTGCTTCAGATTAATATTAATTCAGATTTGTTTTCAGGTTACTATTCATATTAATTGATTCATAATCACATTAATAGAATGGTTAAAAAATAAGTTTTGCAAAATATGTTAAAGCTCATTTTGTGTCTCCTCAACCCCTTCTAATTTTTCCCTAAGAGCCAGAAAATATTCTTAATTAGTATATTATGCTCACATACTTTTTAATTTACCATATACCTATGAACAATATATAGTATACTTTGCAAGTATTTATACATTTTATAAACCAAATAATTATTCTAACAATTCTTCTGAGGTTTTATTTATTACATCATTTTTTACCTTTTTATTTATATACACACATGCATTCATATCAAACTCACTTGAATTACTTTGTATTCCATTGGAAGCATACTCCAAAATTGATTTATTTATTCTCCAGCTGATGAGCAATTTACATTGTTACCAATTATTCACTGCTATGAAAAGGCTATACCTTTTTGTCTCCTTTTGTGCATATGCAAGTACCTCTATAGGACATACACTATGTAGGGATCCAAACTTCATTTTGTCCTCAGGATTCAATCAACATCCACTAATCTGCCATTTCACTTCTGCCTTTATCCAGTGAAAGAAAAATAGTTGAATTCCTAGCTCACATAATTTCTGTTAGTTTATTTATAAATAGCACCCGTGTATTTACATGGGGTACACTTATATATGGTCAGCATAACAGTACCAAGAATACAGCAAGGCAGATAGCTTAGAAATACAAATGATATTTGAAAACTCATTTTTGATGTAAGCATTTCTGATGTGACTTAAAATGAGAAGGTCCTTATATGCTTTATTTTTTTGAAATTCAGTTAAAATATAAAAATACACTTAATATTATAAAAGTTACATTTCATACTATTTAGTGGTGAATGGAGACATATTCATTTTATACACCAAAAGCAACAACTTTCAAATTTCTAAAGGAAAAGGGAGATATAACATTAATAAGGACATTGGGAAAGTTATGTTAGTTAAATATATTAGAGGAACATCTTTTTAAAAACTAAAATCTTACTAATATTTTAAATAATAATATAAGGAGACCAATGAGGATTAGATTACTCTATCATAATTTTAATCTCTGTAGAATTCCTTGGTGGATTTGATTCATAATAGTTAGAATAATACTCTTTAAGGATTATATTAATATTTACTTACTAAATTCCATTTAGGTCATGGGTCTTAAAAGAAAAAGCCTTATTTTAGAAATCTTTATATTTAAATGAGGATGTATATAAAGCTGAATGTCAATTTTCCACTTTAAAGTTAGCAAATAGGAAATAATCCATGATCATACACAACAGCTATGATAATCCTCTTTGATTTAGACATAATAAAGTATATAATGACAAAAAGAAAAGTATTGAACAATTATGCATTCCATGTTTCCTATTAATCAAACTAATAAAAAATTGACATACATTTTCTACTAATCAAACATCAAATTTTGAAACCAAAAACTATAAGAATGCTTGAAGAAGACAATCCTTATAGTTTTGAGTCCATAGAAGTTAAGAATTTAAAAAAAAACATAAGTTCTTGTGGAAATGATTGCTATGC